TCACCTAAAATTGGGGACATACCCCACTAGCGGGCTGCGAGGACTAAAGCCTGTACCCTAACCCACAGGGGCATAGAGCACAGTGATTTTCCAGGCCCGGTCCTGTGATGCATCAGAACTGTCTTTAGAAGTACCCGTGGTGCGATTTAAAAAAAAAAAAAAAGCTCTTCTAGACCTACCCTCTTTTTAAAGTCCCCAAGAAGTGCTGGCACGCACATTACACACGTTTGAGAACCCCTATTCTCTCATGCTTAAAACAGACCCCGCAGACGTTAAATGACTGAAGGGATGTGCCACTGGAGGGTTGGGAAGGAAGGGAGGATGATTCCAGGTTTCTGCCTTGGAAAAAGGTGCAGCTAACGACAGCTGAGGCACACAAGAGGGGAATGACTTGAAATTCAATTGGAACGCACAGAGTGGGAATGGAAGAAAAGAAAGACTTTGTTCATGCGCGTAGCCCTTGAAACATTACTTACGATGGTCTAGTGGGGGCTGGATGGAATGGATGGAAAAAACTATTTATTTAATTTTTCTTTGCCAAGGGTCCTGCAGACCAAAACAGAGCACGACTTATTTTCATAGACCCTATGAACTACAATGTTTTTACTTTTTTTTTTTTTTTTGGTACTGGGGGATTGAATCCAGGGGCTCTAAACCACTGAGCCACATTCCCAGCCCTTTTAATTAATTAATTTTTAAGACAGTTTAAGACAAGGTCTTGCCAAGTTGCTTGGGCCCTTGCTAATTGCTGAGACTGGATATGAACCTGTGATCCTCCTGCCTCAGCCTGTTGCTTCCATTACAAGTATATGCCACAGGCCTGCCTGTTTTATTTTTACATTTTTTAAAATATATTTTTTTAGATGTTGATGAACCTTTATTTTATTAATTTATTTATATGTGGTGCTGAAAATCAAACCCAGTGCCTCACACATGCTAAGCAAGCGCTCTGCCACTGAGCCACAACCCCAACCCTACATTTTTAAATGGTTGAAAAATAACATTTCATGACTTTTGAAAATTACACAAAATTCATACTTCAGTGTCCAAAGTACAGTTTTACTGGAATACAGCCATATTCATTTGTTTATATATTGTCTATGACTTCTTTTGAGTTACAATAGCAGACTCAAACACTTGCCCCAGAAACCTTATAGTCCACAAAACCAAAAGCATCTACTATCTGGTCTTTGACAGAAAAAGACATTTGTCAACCTCTGAACCAAGGGGATGTTCAGAGACTGTTTTAAAAAACATATTAAGCCAGGTGTATTGGAGCTGGGAGTGGTGGCACATACTTGTAATCCCCGTGACTCAGAGGCTGAGGCAAGAGGATTGCAAGTTTGAGGCCAGCTGAAGCAATTTAGCAAGACCCTAAGCAACTTAGCAAGACCCTGTCTCAAAATAAAAAAGCAATGGGGATGTGGCTCAGTGGTAAAACACCCCTGAGTTCAATTCCTGGTACCTAATTTTTTTAATGAAAAAATAAATAAAAACATTAGATTTCAGCCTTTGAAGCTATAATCTATAATCTTATCAATAAAGAGTATAAAGGGCTGGGGATGTGGCTCAAGTGGTAGCGCGGGGCGCTGAGTTCGATCCTCAGCACCACATAAAGATGTTGTGCCTGCCGAAAACTAAAAATTAAATATTAAAAAGTTCTATATCTCTCTTTAAAAAATAAAAATAAAAAAATAAAGAGTATAAAGATTTAGCTTTGTCCCAGCAACCCTCCACCACAAATTTAGGTCCACTCCAAGAAGTCTATAAACTTTTTAAAAAAGTGGCAGAATGTTGTCAAATTGGCAGACCAAGGGTACAGCATTTAATTTCGATGTTATAGTGGGGCACTATTTCACAAGCCCATCTGAGGATTATGCAATTACTTGTAGGAATATATAGTTGTTTGATTTTGGTATTTACTATGGAGTTCAGACTCTCAAGGGACAAATAGGCATTGCCCAGGAGAGAGGGAAAACATTTATATCTAGTAGAAAAATAAGTCTGAAAGGTAATAATTTTTATTGTCCTTTAGGACATGAACCAGTTTTGTATCTAACTCAGTATCATATTTTATTTTGTTTTTGGTACCAGGGATTGAACTCAGGAGACTCGGCCACTGAGCCACATCCTCAGCCCTATTTGTATTTTATTTAGAGACAGGGTCTCACTGAGTTGCTTAGCACCTCGCTTTTGCTGAGGCTGGCTTTGAACTCATGATCCTCCTGCTTCAGCCGCCTGAGCCACTGGGATTACAGGCATGTGCCACTGTGCCTGGCCCCATCCCATTTCTTTTTGAGATAGTCTAAGTTGCTGACTCTGGCCTTGGAACTTATGATCTGCCTGCCTCAGCCTCCCAAATTTCAGGGATTACAGGTGTGCACCATTGGGCCTGCCTCCAGTAATCATATTTTAATATTCTTCCTTAACTACCTGTCTATATCCAGATCACCAAGGTGATTTACCATCTTACTAAGGCGACTCCCTTCGTTGATGAGTTAATAAATCTTTTTTACATATTAATTTTATGTTTAGATGTCATGTTTTTATCTCTTTGAAGATTTTGTTTTGATAGTACATATGGTATGATTTTCTCATGAATAGTTTATTTGTCTTATGAAAGGGTCTCACCATGATGCCCAGGCTTTTCTTGAACTCATGTTGAAGTGATCCTCCTGCCTCAGCCTTTTAAGTAGTTGGAAGAATGTTAAGATTTTTTTTTTTAAATTACGCATGTATAGCTGGGCATGGTGGCACACACCTGTAACCCAGTGACCTGGAAGGCTGAGTCAGGAGGATGGCAAGTTCAAAGCCAGCCTCAGCAACTCAGTGAGGCACTAAACAATTTAGCAAGACTCTGTCTCAAAATAAAAACTAAAAAGGGCTGGGGATGTGGCTCAGTGGTTAAGTGGCCCCGAGCCAGGTTCAATACCTGGTACCAGAAAATAATAATGTATATATGTGTATATTTAGATATATGAAGTTCCAAAAGATGCTGACTTTTCAAACTGGCAAAGAGGTCACTTCTATAGGATCAGGGTACAGGAGGGAAACTGCTAACATCCACTTTATGCCTGTAGATATGCTAATCTTCTATAAGAACATAGTCATGGGCTGGGGTTGTAGCTCAGTGGAAGAGTGTTTGCCTAGCACAGGTGAGGCAATGGGTTCAATCCTCACCACCACATAAAAACACATAAAATATATTGTTTCTCTCTACAACTAAAATATTTTAGAATATATATTAATATATTGCTTGGGCTCCATCTAAAATAGCATCGAGTTAGGAATTTCAATGTATTGAAGTTCACTTATACTCAAATGAGAATTTGGGTGCAAATACCTATCTGAACAATGGGACCACGGATGTGCATTGGGACATCACCCTTTTGATGTGCTTTAAATTTGTTACTAGAATGAAATGCCTGAAGCAGGCTACTTTGTAAAAAGAGATTTATTTTGGATGCTGGAAGTCCGAACATGACAGTGCTTCTGGCAAGCCTCCTTCCCGCAGACTGAACCACATCACGTGTTTATCTGTGTGGTCTCTTTTCTTGATATAAAACCACCAGGATTCAATCAAAGGGGTTCTACCCTAATGACATAATCTAGTTGCTTCCCCCAAAGCCTCTCCTCTGAACACCAAAGCCTGCTAAAGCTGCTGCCCTCTTAATACCATTAATATGAGATTTAGGGGATTAAACTCTGGCATGAATTCAGGGGTCAAACCATATATTCAAACTCTAGCAGGCTGGGGTGTGGCTCAGTTCAGCACTTGGCTTAACATGCTCAAGGTCCTGGATTTGGTCCCCAGCATTGCAAAAAAAAAAAAAATGACATAGCCACATGGTTAGGTCAGGGGTCTGAGGAACTGCTGTGATTGACGGCAGATGGGGAGGAGGGAGCAAGCATGGATGACGGCTGTAGGTTCCAATCCTACTGCGTGGAGGTGGGAGACTTCAGGTCTTGGTCTGATCTAGAACTTAACTTTCTGGGCAGGCAGCTGGGCAGGAGACAGCAGGCTGGCATGGTGGACATGAGTTACTCCCTCTCCTACTTCAAACCCTGGGAGCTTTTATATCCCTCCATACCATTTTTCACAGCTTTTCTGGTTTGTTTTGTTGACAGCAGTGGAATTCTCACCTCTCACCTGCGTGAAGGAAATTGTTTTTTCTGGGCTTGCGTCTGCCCCTCCCTGCTCTGTCTCAAGGAGGATGGGATCTGAGTTCCAGAACAGACTCAGTGTGGCTCAATGGCTATGCAAGTTTGAGGAAAACAATCCCTGACTCAGACTTGAGAATAAAAAAGGCCTGATGCCGCCAGCCCCAGCGCTCTGTGGGACTCTGGAAATGAGGGAGATGCTGAGCATCCAAATATGGAGGGGAAAGCTGGTCAGCGTTGGTCCTGCAGGAACATGAGAAAAAGTGGAAGAGCCACCTGCTCTGAGCTATCCTGGACAGCAATGGAGGATGTTTTGTCCCTTCTCTTCCACCCCAACAGGAAGTGGGGCAAATACCTAGAACCTGCAATCCAGCCTAGGTCCCCTCACCAAGGATGCTTCCAGCTACACATCTGGGTCCTAATCTCATTTGCCTAAAACTTGCCACAGACCTGGGGCATGCCCTTTAACTCTGCTGTGCCTGGTCATTCGTCTGCAGAACGCACACGCGCTACCTGCATCTGTGGAGATGCACACAGTGGAGTTGGGGTGGAACCGTGGCAGGTGCTGTCCCTTTACCAGCACAAGGGCCCCACTGCTCTGCATCTCTTGCCCACGCCTCCCCACCTCAGAGCAACCCCAGCCATCCATGAAACACTCTTGTATTTGCTGGAATCAGCCTGCGTTCCAGAATTTTGTCCCCCCCAGTGTCCTCCTAGTTCTGGAATCCCACTGCTATTCCAGATGGAGAGCCCTAGGTCCTCAGGGTTCTGCTGCTCTTCTGGGCAGTGCTGGTCTGCTCAAGCTCTCACATCTGACTTGAGTCTACACTGCGGCCAGGATGCGGTGGCGTGACCGCATATCTGTGTTCTTCTTTCCACCAGGCATGATGCTTACCATGACCGCACTGCTGCTCTTCTTCATACACCTGGCCGTTTTTGCCAATGATGTGCATAACTTCTGCATCACCCACCACTATGACCACATGAGCTTCCACTACACGACTGTCCTGATGGTAGGCCTGGGCAGGGGCTCAGGGCTGAGGGGCTGATGGAAACCCGCTGTTGTGTAAGGGGACCGCTCTCCCACTGGATGGGCCTACAGTTCTCCCAGGTGATCAGCATCTGCTGGGCTGCCATGGGGTCACTCTACGCGGAGATGACAGGTGACAAGTTTCTGCGGTGCTTTGCCCTGACCATCCTGAGTGAGTGGGAGGAGGTGTGATGAGAGGAGGGGGAGCTTTGGAACCCTAGGATGTAACAGGAGAGGGCAGGGGTGTTGGGCTGATGGGGTCTCTCTCTTCTGCCCAGTGCTCAATGAAGCCATGTTCTTCAACCGCCTGTCCCTGGAGTTTCTGGCCATCCAATACCGGGAAGAGAACCACTGAGGCCTGGGACTAGGGACGGGGATGAGAAGGGAGAAGGAAAAGGCTGCTTTGGGTGTTTTAATAAAGTCTGTTATTTATTTGCACCTGTCAGCTCCTTCAAGGGAGGAGGGTGGGAGGCTGGAGACCCAGGGGGAAGTAGGTTAAGATAAATGCTTGACCTACATGACTCCTGACCCAGCCTGTAGCCACTCTGGTGGCCTTGGCCTTGGGTCAGGAATCTTAGTGTCTCAGGCTTGAAGGAGAGGAGTGGAAAAGAGACTCCTAGCCTCCCTGCCTTCCCTCCTTAGGATCCCTGGTCCTAGGCTGGCCCAGCCACAAGCAAGGGCTCAGGAGGGACCCACACGGATATGAGGGTTCATGAGTGGGTCGAGATTGGGATCGCTGTCAGCAGCAGCCCGGCCCAGGCGAGACATGAGGGCGAGGAGGGCCAGGAAACCCAGAAGGCCCAACAGTAGCAGCAGCCCCGCCCGCTGGAGCAGGGTCAGCGGCCGCTTTCGAGACCCAGCCCGGCTCCTGGGGGGAATGAGGGCAGAGTCAGGTTAGGCCCTTGGTCCCTGGGGCACAGAGAAGAGCCTTAGTCACCATCCTTGAGCCTCAGTTTCCTCATCTGCGCCACAGGGATGATCACCCCTGCAACTGCCACCAGGTGGAGTCATTGTGCAGCTCACAGCAGCTGAGGCACATGTTCTAGCTGAGACTGTGTTTTGGAAACTGGGATATGTCAGGCATGGGGGAGAGTTACAAAGATTGGTTGCTGTTGGAGCAGGAAGGGGCCACAGAGAGCCCAAGTCCAGACCTCCTACAGGAGGTAAGAACAGCCACAGAGAGAGCACTCCAAGGTAGCTACTGCCCAGCCGAGGCCTCTGCACAGACCCTGCACTGGATGCCACCACACCCAGAACCAGCCCTGCTGTCATCAGATCTCATCCTCTCTTGGCTTATTTCCTCTCCTCCCCTTCCTGCCATCCTGCCCTGACTGACCCCATATACCTGAGCAACTGGGCCAGCCAGCCCAGGGCTGGCCGGCGGCGGTACTTGTCATCATCACAATCCCCATGGAGGCCAGGTAGTCGGTCATCATCCCGCGTGTCATACACCTTCCTTGGGGCTGCAGGGATGAAGCCACCAGCATCAACAGGCTCAGAGAAACTGGCCCTGTGCAGGGGGGTATCCTAACCTCCCCAGCCTGATAGAGTATCTTGGAACTGAGGGGAGGCCATGTCTGTGCTTAGGGTGAGGAAGTGCCACTTTGGGGGAGGCTCTGGATCCCCAAGCTGCCTCCACCCACACCACCCATGCCCTTTCTGTCCTTCTCTGGCTGGGACAATCCCATGGCTCACCATGAGTCAAGGGCTCAGTATTGCCCATGTGGATGACCGTGTGCTGCTCGGGTCGGCTGGGAGAGGCAGGGGGTCGGGGAGCCTGGCTGTAGAAGGCTGGGGCAGCAGAAGCACTGTCTATGTCCTCCTGTCCGGGGGTACTGGTGGCTGTGGGTATGGAGAGAGCCATGAGCAATGCAGAAAGGCAAGGTCCCAGAAAGCAGGTAAAGGCCACCACTTACCATTAAAGCTGGACCAATCAGAGAAGTCGGAGGAATTGAGGGGCTCAGGCTCTGGGCTTATCACCTCATCAATCTGGAGGAAGGAATCTGGGTCACTAGCCTGACCAGTGTTGTCCCCACCCACCCATCTGGCGAGGAAGGTAAGGCTCGGGGCAAACAGATGGTCAGACAAAGGGACTCTCACCAGAGGGAGGCCCAGTCCTGACCGGGCCCAGTTGACTGTGGCTAGCTTCTCTCTCAGTGCAGAGGCCACAGGGCCAGCCAGGTTGCTTGGAGGGAAGATGGGACCATTGCAGCTGGGGCACTGATAGCCAGCAGGTGCTGTATTTCGGGGTAGCTGGGCTGCACGTTCATTGAGGCAGGCCCAGTGGAAGAGATCTGAGGGCCCATGAAATAAGGGAGAGACACAGGAAGAAAACTCTGTGGGTTCTTAGCCCAGCAATAGCCCCCGTCCCACTGCCAGGATTAAGGGACATACACATGTAGGCCCAGGGCCTCGCTCTTCCCTCCTCACTCCAGGTCCATTTCATCAGTGTTGCCTAAGACTTCGGCCTTCTTGGATACCACCCACTAAAGTCGAGGCAGATGCTACAAAACTGCCTAGCGCACAAAGAGGTAGGGTGGGCGGGAAGAAAATGCCACCAATATCTTTTAGGGAGTCCTTTCTGGGCCTGTACTCATCATTCTCCTTGAGCTAACAGTGAATCAAGAATAGTTTCCAAACGGATTCCTAGATATACACATAGGCACAAGGATGCATGTACACATCTATGGACACAAATATTCCTGTGCTTATGAATATGTAACCCCAAAACAAGTGCCATTCCTTATATCCACACTAGCTCCCATGAACTCATTGTATATGCTCACATGGCTGCTAACACTCAAGGATCCTGATCAATGTTTTCTCCTTGTATGTCCACAACACACCTGTGACCATCCACTAATGTACTAATGAACATCCCATGTAGAGACACATGAAGTCATGCAAGTTACACACACTCTCACATTGAAAAACACATAGAGCTGTCTCTTTTGCATCAGCTCCTTCAAAAATTGAAGCTGACGTTCTTACACCAGACCAAAGTCATAACACATATGACTGATGGTTCCCTCTAGCTAACTTTACTGTAGGAAACTCTTCCTGTTTGGTACTGGGAAGAATAATAGATCCTAAATATCTGAAAGTCCCATGCTGGTGTGGCTGGCAACTGCCGTCATCATAAGTTTGACAGGCTCTTGCTCAGCTCTCCAAGACTGGCAGGGCAGGAAGTAGGAGCTTTAATTTTTAGGAAAAGACATAGGGGCCTAGAAAGGGAAAATGACCTGCTTGAGCTTACATAGCAGGGAATTAACCTAATAGGGCAGGAATCTAGGGCTCTGGCCTCCCAGGCCTGGGGAATGTATTATGGTGCTTCTGGAGGAGGGCTTGGAAACCAATCACCAAGATGGCTTTGGGGCTACCCTGATCCCTCCAGGATGACCAGGCCTCACCATAGCAAACAAGGCGGGTTGTCTCTCGGCTGGCCAGAGGTGTGCTGCACAGGCGGCAATTGGGGTTGTAGTCACTATCTTGGAGCCACTGCAGGTAGGACTGGACGATGCACTGGATGGAGTGGGAAAGAGAAGTCACAGTTGGAGCCTAGGCTCCAAGACCAACCACTCCAAAGTCCAACTCCCTCTTTTCTCTCACCACAGACACATATCCTTTTGTTTGTTCCACCAGTAAACATTTATTAAGCACATACTATGTGCCTGACTCTCTTGGGGCTGGGGCTATGGCAGTGAGCAAAATAAACCCAGTCCTTGCCCTTATGGAGCTTACAGTCTAGAGTGGTGCCCCTCAAGGGTTTGGAGGAAGGCAATATCGCCAACCACCCAGTCCCCTGCTCAGGCGATCCTCTGAATGCCCCACCTTGGCGTGATTGGCTACCAGGCAGTGCTCGCAGACGTTGACTCGGTGTTCAAAGCAGAACAGGTTGGTCACCTTCCTCTTGGGGCACTTGCAAAGTCCCATGACCGACCCTGGGGAAGAAGCCAGGTCCTACCAAGCTGCCACTTGGGTCTCACCAGCCCCGTCCGTTTCCACTTAACTTCGCCGACACCTCTCACATCCACGCAAACCCAAAATCCCGGTCTTGCTGGTGTCGGGTCACGCCCCCTGCATAAATCCCCCGTACCGCGACCCCTCATTCTTTCGGTATCCCGACCCCAGTCAGGCCTCTCAGTCAGCTACCCACTGATACCCCTGGCCCCGCCCCCAAAGCCCCGTCTGGGCCCCACCCCTTGCTAGCCCGGCCCCTTTCTTTACAGACCCCCCCCCACTCTCGAAGTTACTGATCCGCCGCGGCACCGGTCCCGACGTGCGCGAGCGGTGATTCGAGGCGCGGAAGGACAGGGATTACGCTCTTCGTAGCTCCCGCTCTGCCCGCTTCAGCTCCGGCCGCTCCGATTATCCCTCCGCTGCCACGTCTCTTCCGGGTGCGGCGCGCACTAATGACGACACCGCGCCACCGGCCACACCCCTGCAGAGGCTTGACAGGAAGGCGGGCGAAGAGGGCAAAATCCAAGCGTAGCGGCCCTCACGCCTTACGTCATTTCCGCTTCCTCTCTGACCGGGCGGGTAATTCGAACACTTCCACTTGCAGCTGCAGACGGCCTTCCCTGTTGGCACGAGCCTCGGGCTGCGGCGGCAGAGGAGGTCGAGGCCCAGACTAGATATGACTGAGAGGCGAACGCGGTCCGGAGGGGCCGCTCGGCGCTCGGGTGAGCAGAGGGAACGCGGGAGAGGTGGGGCTGAGCCGTTTGGGATCGCAGGCCCTTCCCCACCGAGCCAAAGAATGCTTTTTTCTCTCAGGAAGGCGCCCCCAGAGGGTTTGTTTGGGAACCTTCTCTGACCCACACTAGTCTCGGTCTCTGGACTCTAGGGCCTGGAGTCCTGCTCAGCCTCTCTTCATTTTTCTCTATAGGGCCCAGGACCCCATCTTCTGCTACGTCTCTGCGGCGGTCCCAGCGGAAATCAGGCTCGGATCTTCCGAACTTCCTTCCTGAACTCAGTGGGAAGGTGAGCCCTGGGTTTCTCAGTTACTGCCCAAGAGGCCCCAGCACTAATGTAGAGCTCATGATCACTCCTCTTTTCCAGGAACCCCATGCGGCTCCAGTCAGAAAGCCCATCGTTTTGAAGAAGATCGTGGCTCATGCTGTGGAGGTGAGGGTTAAGAGACGGGGTTGTGAGTGGGGGGCCAAAACTGGGAGCTGGCTATTTGATCAGTTGGTGTTGTTCCCCACAGATCCCAGCTGTCCAGTCGCCTCGCAGGAGCTCTAGGGTGAGTTCATTTCCAACGGCTTAGTTGAGTGGGATCCAGGTCACTATAGAGCTGGGGAGCAGCATACTGTCTTCTCACATCTACTTAGGGAGCTTTTTTGCAGTATTCTGGAA